AGTTTCTAGAGTTTGCTTTTTCACAAAATGATGTGGACGATGTGGTTCCTTGTCCATGTATGAAGTGCAATAATGAAAGGAAGAAAGGTAGAGTAGAAATAGAGTTGGATTTGATTAAACATGGAATTGTTAAGAGCTATACTCGCTGGTTGCGGCATGGGGAAAACAGTGAGGAGTGGACAACTCATGAGAATAACATAGATGCATCAAATGAGTACATAGAGCATGCATCTATGTTTGAAATGCTACATGATGCATTTGGGAGGTCAAGGGAGAAGGATACGAATGATGGTGAAGCAAATATTGGCGAGTCCCGTGATCCAATAGAATTAGTAAATAGCTTCTACAAATTGATGGGTGATCTTGAGTTAGAGCTATATCCTGGTTGCAAGAAATTCTCAAAGTTGTCCTTCTTGCTTAAGCTATTCCACATCAAGTGTTTAGGTGGAATAAGTGACAAAAGCATGGCTATGCTTCTTGAACTACTTAAAGATGCATTGCCTGAGGGTAACACATTGCCTGACTCATATTATGATGCTCAAAAAATTATAAAGACTTTATCTCTCGAGTCCAAAAGAATTGATGCATGCCCAAATGATTGTATGTTATTTTGGAAGGAGCATGCGAATGCGGATGAATGTGTTCACTGTAATTCTTGTAGATGGAAAAAAAAGGAACAAAGCGATGCATCTGGTACCTTAAATTCTATGGTTAGAAAGATCCCATGCAAAACGATGCGTTATTTTCCATTGATTCCCAGACTACAAAGAATTTACATGTCATCTAAAACAGCTTCAAGTATGAGATGGCATCACGATGAACGTGAGGATGATGGGGCAATGAGACATCCGGCAGATTCTAAAGCGTGGAAAACGTTTGATGAGCTATATCCTTCATTTTCCTCTGATCCTAGAAATGTTCGCCTTGGTTTAGCAGGTGATGGATTTAGCCCTTTTAGAAACGGACATGTAACACACAGTACATGGCCAGTGATTCTTATCCCTTATAACTTACCTCCATGGCTTTGCATGAAACAACATTCTTTAATTCTCTCCACACTTGTTCCCGGTCCTAAGGGGCCAAAGGATAAAGTGGATGTATATTTGCAACCTTTAATAGAGGAATTGAAGTTTCTTTGGGAAGTTGGGGTGGAAACTTATGATGCCTCAAAGAAAAAGAATTTTAGAATGTTTGCTTCTTTGCTATGGACAATAAGTGACTTTCCGGCATATGGTGATCTTTCTGGATGGAGAACTGCTGGAGCTTGTGCTTGTCCTTCATGTAACAGCAATACTTGTTCTTACAGATTGAGAAAAGGATCTAAACACTGTTACATGGGCCATCGCAGATTTTTACCGAGTCGCCACAAATGGAGATATGATCGAACAAACTTTGATGGCAAGGAAGAGCTGAGGACTCCACCTAATGTTTTGTCAGGTAATGAAGTTGTAGACCAGTTAGTTAGTGCTGAAGGAGTAACGGCAGGCGCATCTATGAGTACTAGCAAGAAGAGAAAGCGAAAACCATTGTGGCGAAAAAAGAGCATTTTCTTTGAATTGCCATATTGGAGTACTCTTTTGATACGTCATAATCTCGACGTTATGCACATTGAAAAAAATGTGTGTGAAACTTTGCTCGGAACATTGCTTGATATTGAAGGCAAAAGTAAGGATAATTTGAATGCACGTCTTGATTTGGAGATAATGAATATAAGAAAGTCGTTGCACTTGAAAAGGCATGAAAATGGAACTGTAGAGATGCCCCCAGCTCCTCATACTCTATCCTCAGAACAAAAACGAGATTTTTGCAAGTTTCTGACAAGTGTGAAGTTTCCCGATGGTTATGCCTCAAACATTTCACAAAATGCTTTACTAAAGGATCGCAAATTATCTGGATTGAAGAGCCATGATTACCATGTTATCATGAAGCACTTGTTACCTCTTGCAGTGCGTGGTTGGCCCGAAGCTCTTTCTAAGCCACTTATCCAGTTGAGCACCTTTTTCACAGAGTTGTGCTCTAAGACATTAAAAGTTGATAAGTTGCAAGAACTACAAGAGCAGATAGTCATTACCTTGTGTGAGCTAGAACAAATTTTTCCACCCTCTTTTTTCGTTATTATGGTACACTTACCCATCCACCTAGCAAGTGAAGCGTTGATTGCCGGAGTGGTTTATTATCGTTGGATGTACCCCGTTGAGAGGTAATAAAAAGTTCAATCAATTGGTGTTTTTAATTAATCAATAAAAATAATTGACAAATATGTTAACAATTTTTGTAGGTATCTGTGTAAACTTAAAGGGTATGTACGCAATAAAGGTCACCCTGAGGGCTCAATATCGGAAGGATATTTATTAGAGGAGTGCTTAACGTTTTGTTCAAGATATATGGAGGATATTGAAACACAATTCACCAAGCAAGATAGGATTAGAGATGGTGGTGATTTGCGTTCAACACATCATTTGCCTATTTTTGTGACAAGAGGCAGACCACTGGGGAAGGCAACTCCCAAACTACTTTCTACAAATGAACTGGAAGAAATTCATTTTTTTGTGTTGAGCAACTGTGGAGAAGCACAACCTATAATCGAGTGAGATTCTATGGTTATGTTTCTAATTTCGTCTTAGATCATTATTGATTTATTAATTATAGTGAAGTATTTATTGCAGTGAATATGATTGGGAAGGTACAAATAGAACAAGAATCACTGCCGTTCGAAAAAGAAAGTGTATTGAGTGGTTTAGGGACCGAGTAAGGATCTATACAAAACCTATTGTGTTTGGTTTCTCTTTGTAATCAATATTAGGCTATAAAACTAATATAATTTATGTATGAATAGGTGACAAAATTGTTCCGAGAGAAACATCCTAGTGTTACAAAACATTTACTGGATTTAGCACATGGTCCAAATCGTGCAGTCGTTTCGGTCAATGGATACATGGTTAATGGTAGCATGTTTCGAACACTGGATTTTGATAGGGGGAGGGAAACACAAAACAGCGGGGTCGTTGTGAAGGGTGAAAACGGAGCGTCAGTTCTCCCATATTATGGAGTCTTGCGAGAAATTGTAGAAGTACAATATATTGGACAAAATCGTGTCACACTTTTCAAATGTGACTGGTGGGATGTTCATAGTCATGGTCGGGGGTTCTTTACTGACCGTTATGGATTCACTAGTGTCAACACAACCAAAGTTTTGACTAGCGATCCCTATGTTTTAGCTTCTCAAGCACAACAAGTATTCTATGTTGATGATGTTCTAAAGCCTAACTGGAAGGTGGTGGTTACAGCAACACCAAGAAACTTTTATGATGTTCCTGAGCAGCAAAGCGTTCTTGACGGAAAGGATGATACATATCCATAACCATCTTTGTCGTTTTGTCAAAAATATTAAGACATCTAGTTGTGTTTTGACATAAACCTTTTGTAGTTTTTTTCAATTTATTTTGGTTCATGCTCTACTTTGTTTCACTCGCTTTTATATATCAATTCCTTCATGTTTATTCATTTAATAGTAATCTTTATGGACCTTTCTAGAAAGAATTCGTATTATTTGATTCTTTGTAAATGTGATTATTTGGTTATGGCTAAATTTATTTTGGATTAGATTTAACATGTCAAAAAAGGGAGGAAAGACATGTCCAAAACGTGTTGAAGTACCACATAGTGAGTACGAACAACAAAGAATAAGGACGATTGAAGCGAACAATATGAAATTTAAGTCGTTGGGAATAAAGCGCATTGTTGCTTCAATGACAAACTTGGTAGACAGTGGCAAGGATAAGAAAAGAAAACACAAATACAGAGGCAGTGAGGATGGTGATGATTATGTGCCTGATGATAATGATAGTGTGGAAGACTCTGAGAGCGAAGGTCATATTTCAGTTACAAAAAAGGTAGTGTTAATTTTTCAACTATCGATTATGGGTCTGATGATTAGCTTTTACATCTTTTAAATATTGATTAGTATGCCATTATTCGCAGTATATTTATCACTTTCTATTTGTTTGATGCCGTTTCAGAGAAAAAACAAGCACCAAAAAGGGGCTGGAAGACAACGTAACTTCATTCCACCATCGTCTGTTACCAAGTTATATGGAATGAACAGAAAACAATCAACATTAGTTGGAAATGTAGCACTAAAATCTCTATCAACTGCCATGAAAGCTTCTCAACGAGGTTATATTATTTATTTATTCATATAATGAATTTATATATATATATATATATATATATATATATATATATATATATATATATATATATTATTGAGATACAGGTAAGTTAAAAATTAGATTTAACAATCCAGCCAACAGTAGTCAACCACAAATGGAGGTTGGTCATGAAGATATTGATTTCGGAGAAGGTACACAAGTAATTTTTAGCATATTTTACATTTTACCTATAATCAAAATTAGGTTTTTTATATTTTAAAATTGCAATGCAGATATCTACGGTTTAGAGAATGACGAGCACTATAGTGGAAATGGTGAAGATTTTGAAATGGATAGAGGTATATGATGTGTACATTATTTACAGGGTACTGTTTATGTGGACATTATTGTGACTTTTTATCCTTTTTGCTTAGACGATCAAGAAGATGATGTGCTCTTAAAAATGACTACAAGCTATAACAATGAGGCAAATGCTAATGTGGAAGGAGACAATGTTCTGGGTACAAATTATTTTCATATAATTGTCTTGTCTAGTCTCCCGCATCACTCATATATTCACACTAGTTAGCTAGCAACAAAGCTTCGTGCATCTTCACAATGTTAAAATGGATTAGTACACATGGGGATAATAATTACAGAGCATAATGAATATAATGGCCGTTTTTTATCCACACATATGGAGTTGGGATTGACATATTGAATTGCAGTGTCCATTTAAATATTTATTACACTAAGCTTTATGTATCATATTAACATGATACTTGAAACATTAAAGGAAAGTATCATATACTATTATAAGTTGAGCTAATATTGCTGTTTTCTTTTGAAGCTGCGAATATCAAGAAGAAGAAAGTTTACAAGTCAAATACTCCTAGAGGTCCCACGAGAAATCTACAATTGGCAAAACTGAGACCCGGTGAGAGGAAGAAAGTAGACTTTAACATAAAGGGAGAACCCATTGGTGTTAATAGAGCTAGTCTAGCGAACTATTGTGGTGCCATTGTTAGAGATACTCTCAATGCACCACTTTATCAGATTGAAGAGTTTTCACAAATACCCGAAGAGAAAAAGGATAAGATGTGGCGGCTTATTTTGGTATTGATAATTTTAATCTATGTAAATAGTACATTGGTTTTATTTAGGTTATTAAATTTTGCTAAGAGCTCTTGAATTTTGCAAGGAAAAATTTGATATTGGGCTTGATGATGTTGAAGATGAAGAGCAATATGAAAAGCTAAGTGAAAAGAGAAAAAAGACTTTGATGAAATCTTTGAAAAAGAAGTACAAAAGTTATAGAGGAAGACTGAAAAGTAATTATTACGATACTGAAGACACAGATGTGGAACGGTTAAAAGATGAAAATAAACCACCATGTGTTAACAAAAAAGAATGGAAGTGGCTTGTGGAGTATTTTGGATCTCCAAAGTTTCAGGTAAAATTATTTATTTATTTATGTACATGGTTGGCTTTTGCGTGCACATTAGGGCTTGGTAGCATTCCTTGTTAAATCTGTAACAAATCGTTAAGAAAATCTGATATTTTAATTGTGTTGGCTTAATAGAATTGTGTTTATTGGCTTAAAATCTGATATTACAGGACTAGATATTCCAAGTTTCCGTATGAGGTTGATACCTGATACTTTTTCAAGATTTGCACATACTTTTTCAGTTTTGCCTTAGCTGCCATCTTTTTTAATTTTTTACTTCCATATGTTTGCTTTGATATAACAGGAGATGAGTAAACGAAATAGTAAGAACCGCTCATGCCAAACTGCTGGACACACCGCTGGCACAAAGAGTTTTGCTCAAGTTATTCATGAAGTGGTACTAGTTTATGTCCTACGAGACATTCCATTTATATTTTGAACTATTTAACGGCTAATTATTAAAGTTTTTGCATACTAGTGTGAAAAAGAGCAAGTCATGCCGAACATATTGGAAGCATACGAGATAACCCATACCAAAATTGATAAGACGCCAGTGAATGATGTTGTGAAGCAAAATATTGTAAGTACTATAACTATATGCAATTTTTTTATTGATTTTTAATTTGAGCTCTTGTATATGATAGGTGTAAGATATTGAGAAGTCTTATATAACGTTAACGACTTTGTACTTCGAGTTTGTTATTTTGTACTCCTGTATGTACTTTCTGATGTATATTGTAATTAGCAATGCATATCAAAGTATCACATATAGTCAGCTCTTAATGTATCACAAAATTTGACTACATACCATATACCAAAGTATCACAGATATATAATATACGAGCTGACTATCTGTTATACTTTGGTATGTAGTCAAATTCTAAACAATTCATTGCTTTGTACTCCAATTAAACTGGTTTATACTTCTTATATGCCTGACATTTTTTTAATTCCATTTGCTCATCTTGAAGGGGCGTTTATCTTTGTTGTCAAAATTAACAATGTCAAGTTGTTACACAAGTCAAGGTCTAATTGCGCTACCCTGAACATTATCAAATTAAACTCACTACTTCAAGGCATATAATTAAAGATAAAGTTGTCTTAAAAGATTAGCTTAATAATATACAAATACTAAGGCCTCTATCTGTTTATCATCATTCTCCTCTCAAATTGCATCTGCCAGTCTCATCCGTATAGAATCTGGGGATTGTGTTAACATTTGTTAACACAAACAAGGAGATCACTGGTTAAGGACATCTTTTCATAAATCCACTCTGGTGCTAGGACATACAGTAAACTGAGTTGCTCTTTAGCTTCTCTGTTATCGATAATGTCTATGTAGTTCGCAAGTATTTTGTGCATAAGCTCTTCTTTTGTGATAATTGAGCGTTTGAGCGTTTGATGGACTAGAATAGGAAATAAATTGTGTCAAACATTTTTGGTAGGCCTGCAATCATTTGCTTTCTCCACTATGCCTGGCATATAATTTCAGATGTTATTTTTTAAAATATCAGTTTATATTAGTTTTATGTATTATAGCTTTACAATATGTTTTGATTTTTTATGCTAGTTTTATGTACTACAATATATTAGTTGTACAAATCAGACTATTTTGAAATATGATATTTGAATCACACTGACCTGACTGCTTTATTTTTGCTTCTTAATTACTGTTCTGTAAAACTGATATCACTTTGCTACAAACTTTGTCACTACTTTCAATTTGTTATTTTGTAGTGTAGTAATTGTGTTAATACTCATGTTTAAACGTTTTTACAGTCAAAAATGAAGGAGCTTTTAGAGCAACGTGCAGCAGGGAAAAATAATTTGACGAATGAAGAAATTTATGAAAAAGTTAAACCCAAAGGAAAATGCCAACGTGATCGTCGAATGGGAGTAAGTCCTTCCATTACATCAATGTATGGGTCATTCAGTGAAGGAGAACAATTGCGTAAAGAAGCAGAAGAGGCCAAGAAAGAAGCTAATGAGGCTAAGAAAGAAGCATTTGAGGCCAATGAGAAAAATAAAGTGCTCACCAAAGAAGTGAAGCGTTTCAAAAGCGAGATGAAAAATATGAAAGGTTGTATGGAGAAATTTTTGAACATCATGGGTTATGATATCTCAGATTTAATAACGAATGAGGTATGCCATCATATTAATTTCTTTAATCTTTATTAAGAAGTATTTTGAGTTTTTATGAAATACGGAGTATTTATTTACTATTTTTTATGTTCCAGGTTGACGAGGAGAGTGACGAAGTGTCTTCGGATGGAGAAGATCAATGAATTATTTGAAATGATTTTGTCTTTATCTTGTAGTTATATTTGACTTCAACTTTTGATTAGTAGGCAATACATTTCTTTACCTATGTATTAATATATTAAATATTATTGACTTATTATAATTTTTTGAAGTTAGTTATTTACTTATTTGTAATAGTTGGATGACTAAACCTTGCTTTGTATTTATGCTGCATCATAATGCAGTTTTTGCTTTGTTTTTATAGTTTGTGTTATTGATTTTAAGTAGTCATGCAACAATATGTTTAAATTAATCGAGACAATATAATATGATTGTTGTTGAATACATCCTTTTGTAATCACTTAAAATCATATAATAAAAAAATGTGTTTGAATATGCATTGCTATATGACGCTGCCTCAAATGATCTAATATTTAGAGTCACCATAATATAATTATTTCTAATTATATTTTGAGACATCATATTTTGGGTTGTCACTAATGATGTTTAAGGAAAAGATAAAAGGTTTGCTTCAAATAATGTTTTGGGACAATATATTATGATTGCCTCAAATACTGTTTTGGAACAAGGTGACATGATTGCCTCAAATGGTGTTTAGAGACAAGGTGACTTGGTTGTCTCAAATGATATTTTGGGACACAATCATATGGTTGCCTCTAAATGCATATCATTAGAGTCAAATATTTTGTTGCCTCTAAAGTTAGCTTTAGAGGCAACCATCATTTAGGGACGGATTAATTAGGGACACCTTAGAGGCAACCAATACATTGCCTCAAAAAGTAATTAGAGGCAACATCTTCATATATAGGGACCATTATGGCTTGCCTCTACAAACCATTTTTTGTGTAGTGTTAATTAGGTTGGTACATTACAACAAGCTGGGGAAACTCGTTGGAGCTCACGTTTCAGTTCTGTTTGCAGTTTGATTAGGATGTTTGCTGCAACTTGTTCTGTTTTAGAAGATGTTGATGAGAATGGCAATAACTATTCTACTCGTGGAAATGCAGCTAGAGAACTTAAGAAGATTAAATCTTTTGATTTTGTTTTCATGTTGCATCTTATTAAAGAAATTATGGGCATTACAGATCTTCCATGTCAGCATATACAGAAGAAGTGCCAAGACATAGTAAATGTTATGCATTTGGTGTCAAGCACCAAAATGTTGATCCAAAAGTTAAGGGAGGGTGGATGTGATAACTTCTTAGAAATTGTTAAAGAGTTTTGCACAAAGCATGAAATTGAAGTTCCTAATATGAAGTCTCCTTATGCGTTAAAATGCAAACGCCATGATCAAGAAGGGTTTGATATTGAACGTCACTATCGGGCTGATATGTTTTACGCAGCCATAGATTCATAATTGTTGGAGCTGAATAGCAGATTCGGTGAACAGATAATGGATCTTCTTACTCTTAGTGGTGCTTTGGATCCTAAGGACTCATATAAGTCTTTTAACATTGATGATATCTGTTCTTTAGTGGATAAATATTACCCATTTGATTTTATTGAGCACGAGAAGGTGAGTTTGAGGTTTCAATTGCAGCATTATAAGCTCAATGTTCTAAATCATCCAAAGTTGGCGAATTTTTCTACAATGGGTGAACTTTGTCAAAGATTAGCGGAGACGGAGATGTCAAAAGTGTACTTTCTTAGCTTGTTGATAAATTGATCCGACTTTTGTTGACTCTACCGGTTTCGACAGCAACAACCGAAAGGACTTTTTCCGCAATGAAAATTATAAAAACAAGGCTTCGCAATAAAATGGAGGATGAGTATGTTGCAGACAACCTTATTGTTTATATTGAAAGAGAAATTGCTAAAACTTTTGACTAAAAAGCCGTGATTGAGGAATTTATCTCATTGAAGAAGTGTTGGGTACAATTCTAAGGTACTAACTTTAACTGTTTTGTAATAATATATTTGTCTCTTCTTCTATTATAATGCTTCATTTAATTACTACTCCGTATTATATTAAGGTTATAACTTATAATAATAATCGCCTAGATTTTTTTTGTTTAAATTATCGCCCCCCCCAATATCAATTTCCTGGGTCCGCCCCTGATTAAGAATCAAGCGTCCTGCATCATAAAGAAATTATCACATGGTTACATACAAATTAAATTAAATCATATGATATTTATATAATAAAATTAAATACATTCACTACAACATTTCAACTCCTAACGTATCACCCAAAAATGTTACATTATCACTGAAAAGTGTTAGATTAGAGAAAATGTAACACTTTTTTACCATTACTTTTGCTCATATTGCATTAGATCTATTGTAACACTTTATAGTCTCTAATGTAACATTTATACCTCTAGAAAGTGTTACATTAGGTCTAAAAAGTGTTACATACTTACATTAGAGTAATACGGAGTATGTAACACTTTTATAGATATGTTACATCTTTAATGTTACGTTAGGTCTAAAATTGTAGTAGTGATTTAATTTAAAAAAAACTTTAAATTATATCAACAATCACATATGAAAATAATACTATGTACTTATGTAGTATATATACTATAGGAATAAGTATATCATACCCCATATATTCAAAATTTTAACAATAACTATATATATAGGAGTATATTTTGGGGCTTTTTCCTTGAATATTACCAAATTTAAACTTATTTCCAAAAATTTGACCATTTTTAAAAAATGACAAAAATGTGACTAAGAAGGTCGCATATTTGGAAACATGATGTTACTATCATTTTTTGTCACTGCTGGAATGTTATGTCACCACCGCTATCGTCGGTCACCGTTGCCGGCTACAGTGACACCACCGTCGGCCACAGTGACACCGCCGCCGGCCAAAGTGACACCGGAAAAGTGACTCCGGTCCAAGTGACAATCCATCCACCGGCCATAGTGACACTGGTACAGTGACGCACCGTCTCTGATGTTCCATCCACCCTCCACTGCTGCCCACAGCCCCCTCAGCCCTAGCACTGCCCTGCTGCCTGCCACCACCGCTGGCCGCCGCCATTGGCCGCCAATTCCAACCCTTCTTCTACACCAACCCCAACCCCCTTTCTAGCATACCCCAGCCCCTCTCCCGCCTACTCCACCCCCTAACACCATTGTCACCGGCATCCCCTGCTACACCAGACTAATGTCGCCATCCCAGCCCAGCCCACTCCCCGAACTCCCCAACACCCATCCCTTATACAATTGATGCCCCACCACCTCACCCAGCCCCCCACCCAGCCCCCAACAATCTCTGCATCACACCATCATTCCCGCCCCCAATTCCAGACACGATCACTGGCGGAACAACACCGGCTCATATGGTCGTAGATCTGAAGGTCGTCTCCAAACCCTAGTCGTCGTGGCGAGGAAAACGAAGATCGGGAGAGGACAACACGTATCAGCGGGTGACGAAGAGCATGCAGAGGGCGATGGTGACAACCAAGGCATCGAAGGCGGTCCAGCTGCTCTGTCCGCAGTGGAGATGGAAGCTGAGAGGCGATCTATTTCCTGTCAGAGATGGAAGTTGTGCGTCACCGATCTATTTCTCCATCTTTGTGTCGCTGAAGAAAGAAAACAGACAGATGGGAGGATTTTCATATCTGGTCACTTTTTTGTCAAATAGGACTTCAGTCATATGTTGGTCCAATAAGAGTTGAGGAGTAATATTTGTGTCATTCTTTCTACATTTTGACATTAAATATTATCATTTAATCTATCATAGAAATTTACTAGATCATTTATTGAAAATAATTTGATGGTTTTATTCAACTTCTTTAGAGATTTGAATGACTGATTTTCATATTAAAAATGCTATAGTCACCCCATTAGTACCCCATATAAAAACCTTCCCAAATTTTACCCCCACATCCCTTTTCCTAACCCTAACTCTCTCTCTCTCCCTCTTTCCTTCTTTTCTTTTCTCTACGTAGTACTCCTCTTATTTCCCATCTTCTTCTTGCCTCTCTTTTTTGTTTCTTCCTATTCTATGAAATGGAATAAAATAGAAGGAAACATAGCCATATCAAGTAGAGTGTCTCTCGTCTTCAACTACTCCCACTTCCGTCGTTTTTTTTTCATGTCAAATTTAGAGTTATAATGCTCGAACGAATGGAGACCATTTTGGATGCGACCTCAAGGGAAGATAATGACGAAGGTGCAGAGCAAGAAGTTTTGAATCGCTTGAGTAGATCTTCATTTTTTAATTTTGTTTTCTAGATTTTGTTTTCTTTATTTTTTTGGTGTGTTTTCGAATTGAAAAGGGTTGTCTGTCTAACAGACAACTTGTAATTGCAGTGTTTGTATACTCAAACGTGGTTTCATAGTTCGTGGAACCTTGAACTAAAATATCTGTCAGACAGACAACTCATTTGTTTGTCTACATATAACTTACATGTAGACAATATAACTATTGTCTGTATCCACATGCAAGTATGGTACAACTGTATTTTGTAGTACATTTTGATGAGTTTAGTAATAGTTAATGTAGTTATATAAAGGTGTCCAGACATATGGTTGTATTTGTTGATTTACAGACTAATTTGGTGAGAACAAAACATGTATACTACTGTATGTGTGGACAGACAAAAGATTGTGTTGTGTTTTGTATTGTTTTGAACATGTATATTCATTTGGTATTCATTTTGTTGTGAATTGCCATTTTTGGCATATGTTTCTGATAAGTCCATATTTAGACACACATTTGATGCGTGTTGGGATCGGCTTTTGATGGCTTTCCCAGCTTTAAGGTATTACAAGTCTAAATTTTAGCTCAAGTTATGTTTACCGGGCGTTGGTTCGAGTTTTGTGTTGTTTGGAGTCAAAATCAAGAATTAAGAGTCCGGCACCGGCGCTTGAGAAGCAATCGGGAAGAGTTTGAGAACATTCGAGAGAGATTTGAGAGTTTTGGAGGCCACCGGGAGGTTCACGACGAAGATTTGATGAAGAAACGGCCTTTGGATCGATTAAAGAAGCATCTGAGAGCGAACGAAGAAGAAAATAGCAACAAAACGATTCTAGTGCAGTCCGCGCGCCCCGCGGGTCAGTACCGCACGTCCCGCGGGTGATTCTGAGAGCAAGAATCCAAGAAGGCTGAAACCGCACACCGCAAGGTCCAGAAATAGCCCCCAGGAGTACCCGCGCAGTTACATAGTGCGGCGCCCGCACACCGCGCGGGCGGAGCGAAACACGGAGACGGAAATTGGACGTGCGTGACCGCGCGGTGACCCGCAACACGTGCGGTCGATTGTGCGGTCCGAATTTCGGCCAG